CGGGAATCTTTAGGAGCCATAAAAGTGTGAAATTCTTAGCACGACTGTGGTTCATCTGAGTGGAAAAAGAGAGAAGAGTATAAGCAGAATATTCTTTCTAACTATGATTTAAGTATAGAGGTGAAACCTTTTGAATACAAGGAGTAATAATTTATTTTAATGTACTTTGTAACACTGGTTTGAACAAAATGAAAATAATCAATGTATCAAAAAGTCGAATATTGCAAATATAAAGGAATTCAACATGAAGCTCCTATATTTCTTTTTTCCCCTCACGTTATGTTGATTGTCAGGAGACTTGTTCGAGACAAATCAGGAAAGCCAATGTGTGAAAAATTATAAAGAATAATTAAGAGAAATAAGATATGCCATTTGGTGTGTCAAACACATCCTACAGTGCTCTGAGTTAAATACTTTGAAATAAATACTTCAAAATTTGCAATAAAAGGCACTACTTCTGAAGAACAACTGCAGGTTCAAAAATCCAACCTTATTTCTCAAATTCAAGTATCAACAGCCATGCTTGCAATACAATTAGTACAACAACTAAAACATGAAGACAATTACAGAAAGAATGATTGAACATGGTATAACATTACAAGTACTATTCCGTTTGATGAAATTTTACAAAACAATTCCTAATAGAATTCACATCTTTGTGCTTCTTGCGGCAAACATTTGTGTTACCTAGTTTCAGTAATTTTCGAGTCAGGTAAATATTACTTAAAAAATCAAATTCTTGGCCCCAAGTATAGTATAACATAGATCTTATTAAAACAAATTTCTTCTACGTCGTGGCAGCATTTTCATGTCAACTAACTCTCCTTCAGTCACTTTTCAAAAAAGTTGTGTTACCTGTTCTTCTTTGAATCGGAGAAGTGTCATAGGCTGTTGTTCATTGTTCCTGAATTCTCTTTTTCTATTTGCTGCTTGCCTATCTATTAGAGCACCGTGTGGTCTCGACTCTGAAGCAGCATTGGCAGTGTTGTGGCTGGTATTCTTAGCAGAAGGTACATCATGGGTGTGCTTTCCCTCATACGTTGTTACGACAGCTTTTGAGTCACTTGCAGCCCTTTCAATGTGCTTCCGGACATTGCATCCTGTGTTAGTGCATTTGTAGTAGCTTCTGTAAACAGAATAAAAAAGATTCAGAAAACAAGCAGAAGAGGATATCTTCACTTGCGAAAGACATTCATTACTAGCACCAATAAATGGATGGCAGATATTCAATGATATCCACAGAGTATAAAGTGCAAATGGCCTAGCAGCACTTCCACACCCAAAGGAGCTAACCTTAACGTTTCACAGCATTTTTTTTTTCAATCTTTGCTAGATGCAATCAAGGGTAAAAAACAAAGGTTCTCAATCATGTCGAAATTTTTACTTTTAGCAGATTTGATATCTCAGACATGGAGGCTAATCAATTGGCAGTTCACAATTAGCTGCACTTCAAACATGAAAGATTGAAGAAACAGATTCCAATTTCCCCCCTTCCAAAGCTAGAACCCAATTTAAATCATCCATATAATATCATAACATATAGTTTTTATAGTGGAAAAGGAGGAAAATGTTTCACCTTGGATGTGGGTTCCCTTTAACGACCTTCTGGCCATACTTTCGCCACCTATAACCATCATCTAAAAGATCGACTTTACTGGTCGTTTGGACAATGATTCTAGGTTCTGCAACTGTCAGGTGGGATGATGCTTGCTCTGAAGTCTGAACCTCTACGTTCCTGCTAATATTTCACCATAGAATACTCATCAAGTTGAGCAGAACAATAAAATATTTTTAAAATATTTTCAGACTCGGGAAAATAAGTATACCTTCGCTTGGATTCTGGTTCATCGTCATCCCTTTCATCTACTCTAGTTTCAGTTTCCCCCAGTTCCTCACTGTCACTTGATCCAGATATATGCTCGGGTATAACTTGGCAAGATTCCTGATCTATGTCAGATAATAAACCGTCCACAGATTTGTTCAAATTTCGAGTCAGACCCTCGGAGCACAATTCAGAGTTTCCATGAAGGTGCACGCTTCCATTTGAATTTCCAGCACCTTTTGTACGCTTACTGGTCTTTGGATGATTGTGCTGTCCCTTGTATATGATTTCAATTATTTGACCATCTAGAGACCGCTCCACTTTCTTCTTGACTGGACATTTCGGATGAGTACATTTATAATAGCTTCGAGGATATTCACCGCCCTTCACCTGCTTCTGCCCATACTTTCGCCAGTTGTATCCATCATCTGTAGGTTTATCAACAGTGAAATTAGGAGGTTGAGATTTCTGATCAGATTGGGAAACATCAGATGACTCCTTCATGGTGTCAGTGTCATGGACAGGAGGTGGCACGTGTTGCAAAGATATAATGGAAGAATGAGGTTGCAGCTGTGACAGTGATGAAGTAGGACCTGCTGATAAAGATGGATATTCAGATTGGACATGCATCTGGGCTTGAGTTTGAGTCTGAGCTGAAACCTGAGCCAGCATTTGTGGATGAGACATTCCAAAAAAGCCCTACATTAAGCAAAAAGTAAAAAATAAATAGTTGAAACAGGTACAGAGCAACAACTCCAAGCATTCGACTAATGCTATTAAGGAAGCAAATTCAAGACACTGACAGCAATGCTGCAGAAGTTGTAATTCCCATGAGATATAACACGAATAATACACTCCAGAATTGCTAACAAAATTTTATATGTTTTGGATTACTGGGAAAATGTCATTTGGTCATGCTTATGAATCACTCTGAAACTGCTCAAATTTTCTGTCTGTTTTTATTACAAGAAAATAATCATATGCACAGGTGGGCAACAATCACGGATCCAGACAAATAATCACTGTAAGGACCATTCGCGCTAACCTTTATCAAAAACGGTTCAATAGAAACAAGATGCAAATAAGGATGTGAAACAAGAAGTTAAGCTAACCACACAGGAAAATCTTCACAGCATCACTTAGCATTCCTGAAAAACACAGCTATAAAAAAGGTACAGAACTTAAATGAGAAGCCATAGGTCCTTCTACAATGGGACTTCCTTTTATTCTATTTTTCTGTAGTCTGTACAACAAAGAAAAATCATTGACAAGCTGTGATATGATGAAGAAGTATAGTATGACAAGAATATATAATTTCTCAGTATGGTTTTGTTGTCAAGAGAAGTATAAACCATAATATTTATATTAGATTGCAACTCTTCATTGATTCGGAGGTTAAACCACTCGAACCTTTTCTTTAAAAATTAAAATGCGCTTTCTCAATAATGTCCATGCTTATTTCACCCAAAGTGACACCAACTTGCCACCTGTATTTTTACAAAAGTTAGCAGGAACTTAATTAGGGTGCTTTATGAATTTTTTTTGCCGCTGTCAAACCAAATCCTCAAATAGGGAAAAACATATTTCTCAGTTTTATTCAGTTGAACTTTACACCAACTTGCCACCTGTATTTTTACAAAAGTTAGCAGGAACTTAATTAGGGTGCTTTATGAATTTTTTTTGCCGCGGTCAAACCAAATCCTCAAATAGGGAAAAACATATTTCTCAGTTTTATTCAGTTGAACTTTATGATTTTACATAAAAGGAAGGTCCTGCTTCTATCATACTATCATATAAGAAAGACATCAAGTAATTTAACATATGACACAATCACACCAGCATATGCGAAGCAGACTACAAATAAAGCAGTAAGCATTAGGTTGTCATGTTTCGGCCGTGACATGGCCGAAGCCCTGCAAATACAGCTGACACTTGCACTCAGTGGTGCGAAAG